ACAATTTAAATGCTTCCACACTGCAGACATGTTTGCTGCATTAGTGCACGCCTCTATTTGATTGCGTCACATCATTGACTATGTTTACATGCACACGAATAATGCAATTATTTCCAATAATCAGAGTAAGGACTTATTCACATTATAAAGTTTACATGTCAAGAGCAAAGCTTTTCGCTCCCGTTTACATGCAATTTCCATTATTCGCTAAGAATTGTGGTTAATTCTTTACTGCCATTATTCACATACTCCACTGCACAGCACAAATGATGGACTCAGAAAGAGTAGGTATGTTAACTGGCCGCTGTTTTAATTTATTTACATCTAATGCGAAACACTTTTGTACCAGGGCTCGCAAAAAATTTCAAAATCCCTGGTAGCCCTTCGGGCAGGTACTCTTCAGATTTTGGTAGCCCGAAAATTTATTTAACTAGCCCAAATAAAAAAAAAAGACCTTTTTTTAAATATAGAAAATCAGATAGGAGTTTAAATGTCAATCAAAAATATTTTCAATACACAAATATCAACAAATATGAAGGAATTTTATTCCACTATTTACAGGGTATCTGCAAAAATAAATTTAAGGCAATGTATGACCCATTTTAAGAGCTGCACAAATAAAATGAACACAGTATGAGTGGGGTTGGACAATATCTGTAGTAACACAGTATTGAGCCATAAAATTACATGATTTACAGTTCAGATACAGGTTTTCACAAAAACAAAAATCTTATACAACAGCCTTTAGACCATTTTTATGAAAAGGGATAAATCAAGCATATAAATCTCAATTTAAAACATATAAATATTACCGTCTTAATTGTTTAGATTTTTAGAAGGCACATTAACTACTCTATGTGTTTGCTGCGTAAACACATGAGTTGATATTTGCATTGATCTGAGTCATCTGACCATAATCAGCAAGAAAGGCTTGTTGGAAATGCAAATTAATTCTCTGCCATGAGGTGGCGCTTTAGGAGTGCTGAAATAATGCGGTTTCCCCGATAACGGCTGAACACAAAGCAGCACCGTGCTCATAAATGCTGCTTTATCAGGAATTATAGGTCAAATGAAATTAAAATGCCAACGACACGTTTCTGAGGACAGTCGGTTTCCTTCAGACATATTCAAATAAAGACATCCGCGCCGCGTTTTGACTTGAATCATGCAGCGCTCATATTTATTCAATTACATCATTGCCTTTTGAAGTTTAATCCAGCCGTATCACGACTCTTGTCTTTCCGTCCCCAACTGTAAGACCTCTTGAAATTATAATTAAGACATTTCTTATACCATTTAACGCATTTAAAACTTTTTATGGCCTTAAGTTTGATACAACTCACTTTATGAGTTTTTAAGGACCCGCGGGAGACCTGTATTTAAGATACAGGTCAGAGTGGTGACACATTGTGGTAGCCCGACTGGAACACACAATAGCCCCGGGACATCGGGCTAGCGATTTTGCGAGCCCTGCTTTTTCGGCGCCATAGAAATATGATGGCAATTAGTTTGCCTACGCTGCTGTCGCGTTCTACTCGCCGTTTCTGGATGAGGGTAACAGAGACTGGTGACAGCGAGTTGTGTTTTCCCAGAAATGCGATGCTTTCTTTACCGCCATCTGTGTATTATTACAGGTGCGTGTCACGTCACTCATGTATATTAGGGCTGTGCGATATTGAAGAAAAATGCGATATGCGAGAACTCATTTAATAATGCGATATTCGATATGCGATACGATAATGCTTAAAGTGCCACATGCTCAGATGAAACGGTTTTACTCAGCTGTTGCTGAGTCAGTTCTGTGAACTTCTATAACTATCTTGTGTCATATATATATTTGGTTATTTTTATGCATGTATGTACCAAGAGTTCCTGTAAAACCACAACAAATTCCTTGTGTTTGCGCACACTTAAGTGGTGAATAAAGCTCATTCTGATTCTAAGAAAGCACCCCTACAACAACTTCTAAAATGAACGGTATGTGTTTTACTCAAGCATTACATAAAAATGTAATTTTAACATTAGTGTAATCATTTTAACACGAGTTTAGCAACTGAATAATAAAAAGGAAAAATAAAACACTGCGTAGTATTTACTCTTTGAATTCAATATGCACTGATTCTTATTTAAGCTACAAAAGTTATTTAGGTAAGAGCAGTGAGTGATTTTCTCTTTGTCTTTTGTTCATGGCCCCAAATATTGCAAGCTGTAGCGATATGCATATTGCGATATGTACATTTGCGATATTTCGATATATTGCACAGCCCTAACGTATATCACGAGCACATGCACACTTTTGGTAAGAGCGGCAATACTGCGATTAAGGTGTTTATATTTCGATTAACACCAGCGTACGCTAGGGCTGTCAAAATGGCTGAAAAAATAAATAAATCTACAAGTTCCGTTGAGTTTGGAAAATTCTGTGCACAGTAATCATCAGAATCTCTCTTCATCTCTCTCTGAAAATGTCCGGATTTTGAAATCATCCTGCAGATGCTCATTAACTAGGTGATTACAGCACATTGAAAAATATACATAACCGGAAGAATCGATACACTGCTTCGACGAGCACTTCCGGTAACCAATTCCACTGTGATAAAGGTCTATTGGGTGATTGAGTTTGTGTTCCCTGACTTTGATGGCACAATGCAGATGTAAATTTATGCTATCAGACTCACCTGTGCGATCTCTACCTCTCCCACTTTGAAGACGTCCTCCGCCTGCACCGCAGACATCAGCTGGGACACGGTGCAGGGAACGATCTGCTGTGCTCGGCTTCTCTGCACAACACACACAAACATCACACAACAGACTTTATCGTCACCCTGCTTCAATGACTAGAGCTTTCAGGTTGAAAATGAAACGCGACTTGAAAACTAAAGTTGTAGAATGTCATGTGTGTGTCAGCAAAACCAGTCAAGAAAATGTCTGGGACATGTTTAATTTTAAAATAGTAAATATACATAAACTGCAAAACATTTTTATTACTTTATTTATTATTTTTGTGTTAAGCATAGCCCCAGTGGGATAGTAACACTCATTGTGCACAGCAAAATTTGTACACATTCACAAGTAGTGCTATTTCTCTATTATTTATTTAATATACTATTGTAGTATATATGAATGTTTAAACAGTGCTTTTTTTCAATTGTATTAGTTGTTCTATTTAGCTTTGATTTACTTTTATTTCTGTTTTAGTCATTAACTAGTAATTAGTATTTCTTTCAGGTAGCTGCAACATTTCTGATTTTCAGTTTTCATATTTGTACATATATTTTTTTTTTCGTATTTTATTTCAGCTTTGCTACAGATTACTGCAAATTATCTTAATAGTTTTAGGCTTAGTTAACAAAACAACAACACTGTTCCCAAGCAAGAGAAGGTGTCATCATTTATTTTTGGGTCTATTTTCTGAAGAGACAGACTAAAGATAATAAACATCTGATGAAAGACGATAACTTCGAAAGTTTGAAGGACGCAAAGCATACACCATAAAATGCATAAATATGTAATAAAAGCTGCATTTTAAAATATTTAAAATAAATAAATTAAAGATGCATTATAGCAACTAGAATTGGGAATTTAAATGTGCATAAATGTACTGTACTGTTTATTGTATTAATAATTAGTTCTACTTACATTTAAGCTTCTTTAGGCAACATCTGAAGAGTTCAGATGCAAAAGCCTCTAAGTGCCATCTGAAATTTTCTTCTAAAATGAGCTTTTTTATCAGGCTCCCATGTGTAGGTTCAGTAATTTCACTTTAATGGCAATGAATTGGTTCTTTTCGCTGCCATTAAAGTAAAATAACATTGGAGCCTGAGAAAAATGCTCATTTTAGGAGAAAATTTCAGATGGCACTTTGAGGCTTTTGCATCTGATCTCCATTTTGTATTCTTATTCTGCTTCTTTTTGGTTTTGAGTTATATATAATACATAAACACAGACACATCGCCGACAGGTTTCCTCCAGAGCTGAGGCAGACTACTAACCCCTTTCTTGTCTCCTAATTTTATTCACAAATGTAGATTTTTTTTAAATCACCCCCCATGTTTGTAGTATTTAAGAATTATTTGATACTCAAAAACTTTGTCAAAAACAAAAAATACAAAAGCTGGAATCTTGTTAGATTTATTTGATAAATATAATTTATTATAATGTTTTATTAATCCCGTGTTTAATCTATATTTATTAATATAGATGGTTTAAAGAATGAATGTTCTTTGTTTAATGGTATTTTTTTGTTCTTTTTATTTTTATTTATTTTTTTTATTCTGTGTAAGTCTAAGCCCATCTTAAAACTGTTGTCTTTGAATGTAAGTTGTATGCCAATTTGTGCTGTAAACTTGTCATTTTTTGTTATACTTATAAAAAAAAAAAAAAACAGTTTTGTAGAAAACATGGAAATTTTTTTATTTTTATTCTGTGTTAGTCTAAGCCCTTTGTGAAACTGTTGTCCTTGAATGTAAGTTGTATGCCGATTTGTTCTGTAAACTTGTGATTTTTTGTTATACTTCAAATAAAAAAAATTAAATAAAATAAAAGTCCTTCAGAAGCTTACAGGTTGACTTTTTTTCTTCAACAAAAGACATACTGACCCATTTCAATATTTTTAAACTAAGAAAGGAGCCTAACATTTAAGTTGATTTGTTTAAGCATTTTATTTTCGTGAAATCTTTAACTATATAATTTTGTTAATATTATATTATATTATATTATATTATATTATACATAACAAAACGTATTCACGCTCCTTCTTGTGTGTTTAGACAATTTCTTAGTTATTTATTTAGTTAGTTAATATCTGTCTTTCTAATAAATACTGATTGGACAGTGTTTTTTATGTAAGTGTCAATTAAATGCCTAATTTCCTAATAATATTCGGTGTGTCTAGTAGTATCTACACAGATAAAATAACACCGTACAGTGTTTTAGGAGGATCGTGGAAAACTGTTTATTGAAGACTTTTAATTTGAAATAACGTGTTTCCTGACGTCACGACCGCGTCGCGGAAGTGTGTTATCACGTTGTTTTTGTGTCGCGTGGGGTTCTTCAACAGTTCTGTAATATAAGTATATTTTCCTGGTAAGGGATATAAATGGAAGAGACTGCGCAACAAGACCTCGTCTTTCTGGAGCTCAGACAGAAGCTGCAAAGTGGCGTTGTGTTCATTCGGTAAATTGCGGGGTTATTTCTCTGTATTAATGCTCGTTCAGTTATTTATATTCAGTTCGGTTCATCAGAGCACGTGAGGGAAGCAGCGAGAAAAACATCGACATGACATTTATTGGCAGTAAAGCCTAATTACTACCTTTGCTCTGGTAATTAGGTAGTAATTTACATTTTCAGAATGCACGCTATGACGGATCACGAAACAACACCAGAGAATACTAAAAATATAATAATTTCTGGTAGTAGCCGGTTTACTGTACTTGTTTACTGTACTTGTTAACATATTCGGTGGACACTCAAACAGTGAGTAGTGCAGAAATGCAACACCAGATGTCAGTACTGGACAGGGGTTTGGACAACCTTTCTGCTAAAAATGTAGCAGAAAAAGTAGTTTTAATACGTTGTTTTGGCCATAACTCACTTTTTAGCTTTTCCTAGTTTACTTTTTTTTTTTTAAGTCCTCATGTGTCAGGAATAGATTTATAAAAACATAAATATTTTGTGTAACTTGCCAATTAATAAGAACTTAATAACCTTGCATCATGCATAATAATTATATAATAATGTGGACAATTAGGTGGTACAGTTGAAATGTGTCTGTAAATATAGCATTATTTTTACAGCCGTCCACGGTGAATCTTTTCTGATAGTGTTTGATGCTTACAGAAACACACACAGGTGTTGAGAGAAAACTGACTTTAAAAAAAAAAATCACTTTTAGTAAAATTTTCAATTTCAGCTCAACTGTATAATATAATTTTAATAAGGATTTATCTTAAGGTCCTTTTTATATTGTAGTCAACATTTGAAGTGGATTTGATGAAAGGTTACTTGCATGTAATTATGCATAATTCATTGTTATTTTAATTCTAAGTACATGTAACGTGTACCAAAATAAATTGTCACCGAAGAATATTATAGACACTTGAGTGGACACTTTTCAACACCCTTGCATTGAGGCAGCATGTTTTACACGGACAAACATCTCTGAAATCTAGTTTATTATCATGAATGTTTCACCGCTGACTTCTTCTTTGACCCCCTCAGCAGTGACGCTGTCAGGGATGATGCAGATGTGAAGATCGAGTCTAAACAAGACTCCGTCCTGAGTGTCCAGACCCCAGACAGGACCTATCGGGTGAAGCTAACGCCTGCTGTGAGTCTGCTGGAGACGTCGTGCCAGAGGAGTCCTGGATACACTCAACACGGATCACACTTCAGACTGCGGCTCAAGGTGGAGCAGCCGACAGGTGCACGCTGATTATTACCCATAAGCACTTTCTCACCAAACCCCAGCATCTGGAGGTCTTTAAAAGAGTCGCTCTTATTTTTTGTGATCAACTTTTTATTCAGCTTTAACACGAGATGTACACTTGGCTTTGTTATATGCGAAGTAGTGTGTATATATATACTGTATATGTATGTGTGTGTGTGTGTGTGTATGTACTCTTATTTGATTCTCATTGGATTTCTTTGAGGAATGAGTGCATGAGCTGCACACACACACACACACACACCAGATTAACAGATCAGTGAAGAACAAAGCAAAGGCCAGTAATGTGACCTGCTACTCTGAGCTCTGAGCTTCATGTCAGAACAACTCAGAGTCAGCTGACTCAAAACTTTTTATCCCAGAAAACCAATTTAAGTAGCTAGATTTTTTTATTATTTGTGACCCTGGAGCACAAAACCAGTCTTAAGTGTAAATTTTTCAAAATAAAAGCTGAATAAATAATCTTTCCATTGATGTATGGTTTGTTAGGATAGGACAATATTTGGCCGAGATATAACTATTTGTAAATCTGGAATCTGAGGGTGCAAAAAAATCAAAATATTGAGAAAATCATCTTTAAAGTTGTCCAAATGAAGTTCTTAGCAATGCATATTACTAATCAAACATTAAGTTTTGATATATTTTCGGTAGGAAATTTACAAAATATCTTCATGGAACATGATCTTTACTTAATATCCTAATGATTTTTTTGGCATAAAAGAAAAATCTATAATTTTGACCCATACAGCAATTTTCTACTCGTGATTGTAATTTAGAAACATGGATTTTCTGTAAAGCTGTTTTGAAACTATACAGCGTTATACATATTAACCTGAAATGAAAGGAATGCAATTGAATAGTTGAAAATCATTGCAATGATTTATTTTAGTGTTATTTTTAACTAAAACTAAAATTTCTTTGAAATGAAATGAAGCTGAAATAAAATAAAATATAAATATTAGATTAAAAAAAACTTAAAGCACTTGAACTGATATGAGAAATGTTGCCTTGACAACTAATTGAAATTATATAAGTGTAAGTTGAAGTAAAATAAATAAAGAAAAATAAATAAAAAAATTTGAAAAATGTAAAATTAAAATTTGAAAAATTGCAATATTAATAAATAAAATGGACATATGAATAAATATTATGTCAGAACACCTCAGAGTTAGCTGACTCGAACCTATTTGTCCCAGTATTTTTATTTTAGATTTTTTTTTTTTTACTGTTTGTTATATTTGACAATCTTTGCAATGCTCTATAAAAGCGTTATTATTGTTAACCAAAACTGATTATTAATTGAAATAAAGCTCAAATAAGACTAAATATAATAAAGCAATAAGCCCCAAGAAGCCATGGTTTACAGTGAATTTATAACAGCTAAGGGGCGTTGTTAGGCACGATGCGAAGCGGACGCTTAGCTGTTATAAATTCACTGTAAACCACGGCTTCACGGGGCTTATTGCTTTTATAAAACAGTTATTCCATACACGTAGTACGGTTTCACAGAATAAAACAGAGCAAATAAAGTGTAATGATATTAATAAAAACAGTATTCTTCCACCAAACAATGTAGTTGCCGAGCAACACACAGAAGTAAACAAAGGTGTGTGTTTGTAGAGTAATTTACAACAGCTTCGAACGCGGCTCAACCAATCAGAATCAAGGACCGGAACTCTCCGTTTTATAACAATTCAGATAAAACACTTAAAGCAACTAAATAGAAAATAAAAATGTTGCCTTGGCTACTAACTGAAATACAACGTTTAAGTGGAAGTGCCAAAATTACTAAAGCTAAAGCTGAAATAAAAACCAAATTAAAGCTAAATATAAATATTTACAAAGAAATTACAAAAAAGCATAACAAAAATACTACAATTTAAAAATGAAATAACAAATAAAATAGTAACATTTTAATTTGAATAAACACTCGAATTAATAAATAATACCCAGCTCTCTACAGATGCTAGTGTTTTCAGACACTATCTAATAATCAGTATCATCAGATGAGTCATTGGTTATCCAAACAAGTATCATCTCTTGGTATGCTTTAGTTGTGTTTGTTCTGTGTTTATTCCTCCAGAAGCTCCTTGCAGTGTGATTGGACAGCTGCGGGTCAATGTGACGTACTCCTTCCTGTGCCAGTCTTGTGGCTCCATGGTGCTTCAAGACAGGTTACTTACTATTCATTCTTTTTCATTTCCATTGATTTGGTGAAGTAGTGCATGAAAGCATAGTGATAAATTCACTGTCAGACACATTATTTCAGTGTTCAGCTATTATCAGACTATCTCCTAACTCCTAAAGGACTTTTGGGCGAGTTCTTCCTTTGCCCAATGGAAACTGGAATGCATTAGTGGACGACTGGTGCTGCCACCCCGATCCCTTCGCAAACAAGAAGCTGCTCCCGCGAGACGGAGACTGTCTGGTCGGAGACACGTTTCTTCTGTTGGCTCGGGACAGCAGCTGTGAGCAGACCCTCGTACGGGAAGAGAACTCGCTTCAGAAAGCCTCTGCAGAGGTAAGCTGTGCAGTTTAGAGATGCATGATTCAATTAAGCAAAAACAGCACTCTTACTGATTGCTAACCGTCTGATTCCTGCTTGCCAAAACAGTGGAGCTTCAGAGCTCTGAAGACACATGCAGTTGTGATATACACCCTAAGTAGTGCACAGATCTGACTTACACAGCCTGAGGGTTGACAGAGGAGGCAGATGACTTGCTTTCATCACAATAAAGGCTGAAGAGGCGTAGGGGAAATCCACTTTTAAAAACATTACGCTCAGCCGGGCTGTGGAGGAGAAGCGGTCATGTCTTTAAGAGGGATTGATTCTCTTTCTCGAGCTCAATCTGTGTGTAGCCTGTGGCCATGCCGAGGAGATGAAAACATACTTTCCAGCGCTTTTTCTATCCTGAATGACTTCAGCACACAGTCGTCGGTTTTCTTATTGATTTTTTTTTTTTAAGTAAATATTTTCAGCATACAGTCGAAGCAGAAGTTTGAAAACAAGTTGAAAAATGACTTGCCGTTTTTGTGCAGGAGTGTGAAACACTTTTTAAAACAAATGCTTAGTGAAAAGAAGTGTTCAGCCTCAGGAGGTCAAAATAAGCATTACATGAGAATGTTTTATTTTCTGCTCATATTGCATGAGGTTTGCAATTTTCCAAGCCTGTTAGCAAAATAGCAAGTCACGGGATTGCAGATTTAGCTTAAAAAATAAGCTAGGCTAGTTATTTCGTCATCCAAAAATGGGTTTGCAGTTCTTCATAAACTAACCAATGACATTTTGAATTAAGCTATCATTTATATCAAAGTTTAGAATCGGTAAGATTGATTATTTTATTTTTGAAGTCTCTTCTTCTCATTAAGGCTGCATTTATTTGATAAAAAATACAATAAAAACAGTAATATTGAGAAATATTATTACAATTAAAAATAACTATTTTCTATATGAATATACTGTAAAATGTGATTTATTTTTGTGATGCAAAGCTGAATTTTCAGCATCATTACTCCAGTCTTCAGTGTCACATGATCTTCAGAAATCATTCTAATATGCTGATTTGCTGCTCGAGAAACATTTCTGATTATTATCAATGTTGAAAACAGTTGTGCTGCTTTTGTAACATATTTCTCACCTAAGATTATAAATGTCCTTAAATGCATTTGATCAATTTAATGCATCATTGGTGAATAAAATAATGATTTTTTTTCAAAATATCTTAGACCCCAAACTTTTGAACAATAGTTTATATTTCCTGTAAAGTTTTTTTTTCCAGAATAACTTTCATAATAGGGTTGAATGGTAGAAATCCAGTAAACACTTACAAAATGTGTAAACATTGAACAAAACAAAAAAAGATGACTGAACTTTAGTATTCCATTCAACTTTTCATCTGAAGCTGACAATAGAAAAGGTTTAAATCACACTTCAAATAGCTGCTGTTTCCAGCTGAGTGTGTTATGAATATGCCTGCCGAGTGAACTGACTCGACCTGAAATATGTATTACCATGTAACCACTGCCATATAAAGCAGCTTTTGTGTGTGTCCACAGCAGAAGCGCAGCAGCAAGCGTGTGATGGTGTCCTGCAGGAGCTGCTCTGCGGCGCTGGGAGAGGAAGTCACTGCAGGTAAGGAAAGCAAAGCAGTGGAATAATGTGGTAACACACCATTGAGTCATTTGACATGAGTGCAAATGAAGAAAACCAGAGCTTATTTATGTTTAAATCATGATGTCATCCATTACCCATGATGCATATTGGCCATTCATTGTTGCCATTAGCAACAGCCTGAGACTCTTTAATATGCTTTGAAATGTTATGTTACTGACCCTTGGGTATTTATAAAAGTGCTGTGCTTTTGAAGCAAAAATAGTCTGTTTATCTGTTTGCAAAGGTCTATTTTTAGTGATTGTAAGTTCTGTAGTTGTTTTGTGTTTTGCCAGTATTTTAAAGGAATGGTTTACCCACAAATGAGCATGCATTCACTGATCCTCATGTTTTTATAAACTTGAATAACTCATGTCTTCTGCATTGAAATACGTCCTCTTTGATGAACTCCTCGAATCACTGAGAGCCACTTCACAAACTAGAGATATCATGAGTTTCGCCCACATCAGGAATGTTAAATCAGGTTAATTCAGCATTGTAGATTAATTGCACATTGATACTTGTGTGCAGACAAAACGGGAGTGAATGTGGAGTGAGTGAAGAGAAAAGAGAAAAGTGTGTAGGCTGTTAATAATTGTCTTGAGATCAGAAAATATCAGTTTTTACTGTGTTTTCTTTATTGTGTGTATTCAGACTACTGTGTGTTAAAAGAACTGGGGAAGTGAAAGGACAGTATGTGTTTTAGGGTAAAAACTAGCCTATAGATATAGTATTTATGGATGGCTTTGTTAGCGTATCACATTGTGACAGTGTTATTCATATTTATAGCTCGCATTTTAAACCATTTTTCATGCAAAGTGCATACAAATTTAAACCACACTGAAGTAAATGACACTATTGTCTTCTGTAGAGCTGTGCTGCCTTATAGCTGAAATTGAAATTATTTTATAGTTGAATAATTTTACAGCACTAACTGTTATTCTCCTGTTTATTGCTTTGACGCTGCTTTGAAACCATGTGTATTGTCTAAAACCATTTCTATTGTATTTTCCTGTTTATTTACTGCTTTGAAGCGGTTTTGTATAAAGCGCTGTATAAATGCGTATGACTTGACGGTTTAGTTAGTATGCAAAAGTGCTTGACTGCAGAATGCTGCAATTAATCAATCAGAATTAAATATTCCTAATGTAATTACACACCAGTCCGCAAAAGTACAACAAGATGATTTAGGTTTTTGCTCTAAACAGCAGCTACTAATGCATATAGTGTGCATACTGTTTACTACACAATATTCAGTTAAGACTCAATTCCATTCTTAAAATAGTTTTCAATATTTGGCCTGGAAAACAATTCTTGAGCTCCGAATTATATTATAACTTTGTTCTTTATTACAAGAAAGCTCTGTGTTTCTGTGAAATGTTGAAGGTGCACATATTATCTGAGAGGTAATTTCTTATAATCTTGCACCTCCAGCTGTTGATAATGTGCAATTTTCTATGTCTAATATATTTGTCTTTTGTGTTTCAGAGGTGCTGAAGTTTTACATAACTGAAATATTAGTAAAGCCACGTGAAGATGGAGAGTGTGATATAGCACGTCTCAGTTTAGTGTCCGAGCCTAATTCAGAAAGGTTAGCGAGTTCATTTGATTTATTCATTTTGTTGTCATCTGTAGATCATATTCAGTCAGAGAGTTTTTTTTTTTATTGTGTCTCATACAGGCAGAAATTCCTGGAGCGAACTCTAGCGGCCCGGCTGGTCGAGCTGTCATCGGCACAGAGTATATTTCGCTTTTCCATCCAAACCCCAGATGACAAAGCTGTGATTTTGGTACAGACGTTAAAACCTCATACACTGTAAAAGATAAATAAATTGGAAGATGATGTAAATACAACAAAGATTAATTGAAGTATGTTTGACAAGAAAATACTTTTTCAGTCTTGCATCGAAAAAATGACACATTGATGTTGCTTAATTATTTAAATTGAATAGCAATTTTTGAATGAAAAAGTTTTCAGGATTTTTTCAGTAAATCCTTTCGAAATGTTTCAGTGTATATGTACAAAAAGGTTCATTTTGTTACATGTGCAAAATAATGTGATTATTTCCAATAATCAGAGCAAGGACTTAACAGATGTTTAGCATCCTGTTTACATGCAACTTTATTATTCTACCGCTAGTATTCACATATCCCACCCAATGCAAGGGATGTTTCTGACCATCAATATACTGCATTAAATTCAAAAATCACTCAAAAATGTGTACTTTGTAATTTGTACTGTGTACCTTACACTTACTTTACACATACTGGTAAAAAAATGCATAGCCTGAATGCACTGTAAGTTGCTTTGGATAAAAGCGTCTGCTAAATGCATTAATTTAATTTAATTTAATTTTACCTTACAAGCACATGCACACTTTGGTCACAGTGGAATAGAAGCGATTAAAGTGTTAACATGCCTGTTTAAAGCAGCATACACCACGTGTTTTACTGCAGTTATGATTGCTATATGAGCTTAATCGCTTCAATTTGATCAAAGTATTGCGTTAACATGAGGTAAATGTTATAATATTGTCTATATCTCATTATGATCACATTATGAAGGTGCATGTAAACGTAGTCAGAGTTATTCAGGGTCTCTTGCAAAACATTTTGCACCATCTAATCTATTTCTGAGCTTTAGTCAAAAACATACTGGAGTTTCCTTCCCTCTGTGCCAACATGTCAACAGTTCAACTAACTTTAATTAATTATGTTGGTTTGACAAAGCCAAGTTAAATCATGTTAGCAATGTGCTAAGACATGTTAGCAACTTGTTAAAACATACTGTGCAAAATCATGCTAGCAGTGCTAAAACATGTACAATGTGCTAACAGCATGTTAAAACATGCTAGCAATGTGCTTAAACATACTTGCAATGTGCTAAAACTTGTTAGCAACATGTTCAATTATGCTAGCAATTGTGCTAAAACATGTTAGCAGCGTGTTAAATCATGTTAGCAACTTGCTTAAACAGTTTTGCAATGTGCTAGAACATGTTAATAGCATTTTATTGACTTAAAGTAAAATCTTCAAACGAAAGTTCTTTCAAACTTCCAAACAAGGCTTTGTCAAGCCAACCTCAAAGTTTGTTTACAAACTTTAATTTAACTGTTTCTCTGCCATGACAGCAGTCGATCCAAAAGAGAAAACTCTGAAACCAGGAGACTTTTTTTTTTTTACTTGTGATGTCCCCTTTAAGTCTGCTCTTCAGGTAATTTATTTTCTCTTTTAATTATCAGCTGTGGCTTCTGAACACAGACGCTCTGGTCGCCTCATTTCCCGACGCAGCAGCGAGGGGCGACAGCTTCATATCCGCAGATGAGGTTCATCAGTCATGCTGGGCCGCTCAAGCAGTCAAAGTGCTGTACATCCTCTGCTCTGACAGCAAACTCCAAGAGTAAGTCATAGTTCACCCTGACATCTGCGCTTATTACTCATATTAATGTCCATATCTAATCAGACTCCACCTCAGGATGTGAATGAAATCACATGAGTTTTGTAGTGTAATGTAGAAATTGATGCGCCCTGTGTTAATATCTTTGTAGACCACTTTTAAACCTCGGCAAAACAATATTAGGACAACATAAAGCATAAACATCTCTAAAGTTTGTTAGCCTTAAAACAAGAAAAATACATATATTTTCAATGCCTTGTTTTTAGAGAATAAAAGAAGTAACTCCTATCCACTCTAAAATAAAAATCATTATTAGGTTTATCAAAGTGTGTCTGGGTTATATGGAAGCCTGTTCACAACGGAATAAAAAAATGAAGGTAATTGCATACTTATTTCACAATTCTGTTTTTTTCTGAGATTATATCTTGCAATTTTTTTTTTTTTCAGTTGTGAGAAAAAAGTGAATTGTGAGTTAAAAAGTCGCAAGTACCCTTTTTATTTATTTTTTATCTTGTGGTGGAAACAAGCTTCCATAGTGAAAAGATACGGTTTGAAAGATGGATTTGTTTGATACCTTTTTTAATGTTACGAAGCGTAGCTATAAGCAGTGTAATGTTGCGCGAGGAAATGCAGGCAGATAATGTGGATCTATGTGCAGGAGTAATAAAAGTAACATAAATTTGTTTTCAAGCAATTACAAACAAGTTTGTTATAGCTACATTCAGCCTTAAACAAAATAAATGTTTTAATGTAAATGTAAAAATGACTATTTCAGTCATAACAGTTTTAAGAATATGTGCAGTTACTGCGCTTTGCCTTTGCAGAAATGTTTAAAATATCAAAAAGAAGTATTAATAATAAACTGAAGGAACTTCAGCTGTAAAAATGGTTGAAGTATGGCAACTAGTAGCCAGGAAAGCACTGTAAATGCACAAGCTGAGAGAAATGCTGGTATAGTTACTCTCAGACCTCCTCGAGATGTGTAATGTTCCCGTGGTAAGAGCTTGAGGAGACGTGGATGCTGGGATCACAGAGGGACTGTGGGTGTGCGCTCTGCACTTCATTGTGTCTCTGACACCAGAAGGTCGTTATGACTCTCTGCTCCTCTTACCTCGTCTCGCTTACCTTTATTTCAAGTGTACATTAATTCTGCCTGTTTTCCTACCCTGCGCTGGAACGTCTCTCCACCTCGCTGTAAGTAGAGGTGCGGATCAAACATGATTCATGGCGCTCAGATACAGGCCCCGAGCCGTGATGCTAAATAGAGGATAGTCTTACAGGAACCAGACTTTTGACTACCCACATAATGTCTGCTTAGCATCGCAGTTTAGTCTGGCCAAAAACTGCTCTTTTAGACAGCAAGTGACTGACTGATATAAAAATCTGAAGTAATAGAGCATTTTTATGCCATATTAATGGTATATAATCCAGGAATAAATAACACCGACCTGCATCATATTTGCTGAACGAATTCCAAAATCCAAAAATAGTTTGCATGAAAATAGCAAAATATGATGCTTTTCGTAGCATTTTTCTTTTGACAACCATTTGTAAGGTGAAGTCTTGTATTCTCTGTTAATCAGCAGAAAAAACTGCCTCAAAGACATGGTTCCTGTCTTCCTCTGAGCCAGAATACAACTGTTTGTTCAATTCTCGGCCCAAATAATATCATATTCTATGCCTAATCCTGATTTCAAAGTTAAAATTATGGGCAGTGACTGAAGAAAGTGCACAAATGAGCCAGATGTTTTCTGCTACATCTGTTGGTTTTTACTGCATCCAACATGACAGAAAATTACAAATTTAGTGGACCGAAAGCTTAATTTGAAAAGTTGAATAATTTGAATACTTATTTTTGTCATTTGTTGGTTTATGTTATTTTGAGAACTACGTTAAAGCTGATAAATGTAATTTGAAAATCTGCTCATTCTTATTTTGTGAAAAACTACATGATGGAAAGTTGTTATTGATATTTTTGTATTCAGCATAATCAAACTAGATAATATTAGGCCTTTTTTGCACATCAGCAGAATTTCTGTTTTTCAAGATGCAAGACATCCAGTGAATTAAATAGGTAACACTCTAGTAGCATGCATATTACTAGCATATTGGCTGTTTATTAGTACTTATAAAGCACATATTACTGCCTTATTCTGCATGACCATATTTTAGATCTCTTAATCCTGCCCCGTACTTAAATTTAACAACTATCTTACAAATTAATAAGCAGCAAATTAAGAGTTTATTAAGGCAAGTTAAGTTAATAGTGAGCATTGGTCCCCAAACTAAAGTGGGACCTACGGTACATGAGCACACTGAGTTGAATTGTGTATAATGTATAATGTAATAATGTATGCATTTAGCAGACTCTTTTATCCAAAGCGACTTACAGTGCATTCAGGCTATACATTTTTTTACCAGTATGTGTATTTATAAAGCAAGTTGCAACATTGGACGGCAACCACAAACAACCTACAGTCACATAACCTCTGTTCAGGACGTCAGCAGTACATCACAACACAACAAACACTAAATTACCCCCATTATAATCAGCAGAGCTCTTTACACTCATCCGTGACACAGCTTGGAGGTTAAGTTCAAGTTTGCTGATTGCTGTCAGTTTTTTAAAGCTAGCTGGTGTCGGATTATGAACTATATAATATCAGATGCAAGTATAAGAAGTAAAGCAGAATCATTACTGGCTGACAAACATTGCACAGTTTCCAATGTTATGTATTTAAATATTTAATTTACTTTAACTGTGAAAGATTTAATGCTATGGACCTTGCGAACTTTGGCAAATTTAGTGACTAGTTGCTCATTTGCTCATTGCATTAGCCTGGGAAATTTTGAAGTTGGTATGAAATGAAAAATCACTATATTGTCTATGTAAATGCGTGCTATGAATTTTATCTGAACAGTTCATCTGTGCATGTTCATTTTTATTCCTGTGAAACAGCAGGCTTCTCTCTAGTGACACCTATGGGACTTATCCAATAATTTAGTGCACTTTAACTCCGCCCCTTACAGTTGACTTCAAGCTCACTATCCAATCGCCTCCATCCAATCAACAAACAATGCACGGTTGTGGCTAGAAGGGATACAGCTATGTCCGGAAGTGACACAAGTCTTGCGAAATCTAGTTCGCTAGTTGTCGTCTTCACTGTCTGTTCCATTTTTTCCTTTCCATCCAGCAAGATTCTAAGAGATTTTGGAAGGACTTTGCCACAACGTAAGCTGATTAGTTTGCTAGTTGTTTTCCTTACAGTCGATTTAATTTATTTTTATTTTTTCTAATTTTCATCACTTCCGGCCGTATAGCTGAGCATGGACCTCTATAAATTATGATCCAAGCTATCTATTTGTCCTTTGGTGGGAACACTACTCTGTTCAGATATTTTTGGGGAAACCTTAGCATTGTTTGGCTTCAGATATTTTAAATGAATCGTTTACCCCAAAATGAAAATTTTCTGTAAATGTGCTCAAACCATCCAAGAAGCCATCAAAATTCTTCATCAGGTTTGGAGAAATGTAGCATTGCATCACTGTCTCAGCAATGGATGCTCTGCAGTGAATGGGTGCCGTCAGAACGAGAGTTCAAACAGCTGATAAAAACATCACAATAATCCACAAGTAATCCACACCTCTCCAGTCCATCAGTTAATGTCTTGTGAAGCCAAAAGTTGCATGTTTGTAAGAAACAAATCCATCATCAAGATGTTTTAACTTTAAACCGTCACTTCTGGTCAAAATTTGAGTCCATAATCCATAATAACGTTTCCTCCAGTGAAAAAGTCCATCTCCTGTTGCCTCTCACATCAAAATCCAGCCACATATTTCTTTAGAGCTGTTTTGGACTGTTTTTGAATCTAACGTTGCTTGATCTGTGCAGATTTCTCTCCTGATTCAGGTAAGACAGAAAAACTTTTTCACTGAAGGAAACATTATTATGGACAGAGAACTCGTTTTTAGCCAGAAGCAAGGGTTTGAAGTTAAAAACATTTTAATTTAAGCTAATTTCCATTTTTGGGTGAACTATTCCTTTAAGAGATGACTTAAATCGTTAAGATTCTGTAAAGAAGCAACATTTTCATTCGAAGCACAGTCCTAGCTCAGATTTCCCATTGCACTTTGAAGTAGAACATTGTGTCTGATATCAAAAGTAATCAACAGAATTAATTACTGTTATGTAATTGACCAACTACCACAAAAGAGTGTGTCTGACTGAGGAAAAACCCTGGTTGTAGTAGTGTATGATGCTTCTCTCTCTGGGCTTCTCCTGCGTTTCTGCTTTAAGAGCTGCGTGTGCGCTTTCTGTGGAATTACAGCACAGATGTGTAAATGTCAGTGAAATATCCTGAATAGATCATCTCCATAATGTGTGTCAGGACACAAGTCTCTCCGTTTCTCCGCTCGCTCGGCTGTCTTCAGTGCAGCGTATTGACAGATTACTGTGACATGATTAAAACGGTAATGTTTCAAACTGTCAGACTGATATAATTTAAGGTCCAGCTGCTTCTGTGGGTGCAGAGTTATTGCACAGAGGAAGTAACGCTTTCTGTTTTCACCTTCAGTCAGTGTTCCTGAGAATTTTTGTTCTAGCTCACCAAAACCTCATTTTATTGGTCAGAAGCTTTAGCTGCATGAGCAGAAACACTCAGTGGAACCAGAGCTGTTCACTGTGCCAGTTTGACAAAGAAAAATGTAACTAATATAATACAGAACAGTTTATTCCTTTATTAAGTCACATTTATTTCTATGGTGCTTTATATAATACCGATTGTTGAAAAGCAGCACAGTAATAAACAGGAAAATAATGTTAAAGTTGAAAAATCTGTCAATTATGAAAAAACTCATCTGTATAGCAGTTCTACAGCAGAGTTTGTTATTCAGCTCAACTCAGTTCAATGTTCTTTCAATTCAGTTCAATAATAGTAATAGCAGCAATAGTGTTAAAAAGTTCATCAATTTCAGCTATAAAGCAGCTCCACAGAAGATAACAGATAAAAGTTTAGTTATAATCAGCTCGATATTAGGCTATAACGTTCTTAGTTTATTTTATACAATAACCTCAATCATATTTATTTAATTGTGTATTAATGCTAAATTAATGCTTTTTTTTTTTTTTATAAATTACAAAATTGTAAAAAGATAGCACTTATATATATGTGTAAATTATTTTATACAAAATATATTAAAAATAATAATTTAAAGACATATATATAAAAGTAATGAACTGTATGTAAATTTTAAATAATAATCAAGTTTTAGGGATCACAGATTTTTTTTTTAAGCTGAACTACTTATAATAACATGGATTATAGATAGATAGATAGATAGATAGATAGATAGATAGATTGATTGATTGATTGATTGATTGATTGATTGATTGATTGATAGGTCAAAAGTTTACATACACCTTGCAGAATCTGCAAAATGTTAATTATTCTACCAAAATAAGAGGGATCATACAAAATGCATGTTATTGTTTTAGTACTGCCCTGAATAAGATATTTCACATAAAAGATGTTTACATATAGTCCACAAGAGAAAATAATAGTTGAATTTATAAAAATGACCCTTATGTGACCCTTAATGATTCTTAACACTGTGTTGTTACCTGAATTCAGAATCTGCTAAATGTTAATTATTCTACCAAAATAAGAGGGATCATACAAAATGCATGTTATTGTTTTAGTACTGCCCTGAATAAGATATTTCACATAAAAGATGTTTACATATAGTCCACAAGAGAAAATAATAGTTGAATTTATAAAAATGACCCTTATGTGACCCTTAATGATTCTTAACACTGTGTTGTTACCTGAATGATCCACAGCTGTTTTTTTGTTTAGTGATTATATGTGTGTGTGTGTAATTAATATTGTTTATACATTATGCATTTGTTTTTTATTTATTCCTTTTGTATATAAAATATAAATAAATTATTCAGTGGGGCCTAAAAATTTGAAACCAATTTGAAAATGTGGATTTTTCTTTTCATTTAAACTTGAAAATAGACAACAGGTAAAGAAAAGACGAACTATTTAAGATGGTGCACTATTTCAGATCACTAATCAAATGTAAGTGAATTAGTGATATTGCTAATTTTACTGTTCTTATGATAATGTAAGTGAAACCCACTCTGTTTATTTACTAAAAATCAACGTACATGTAAATGGACTCCAGCTTCATGTAGCTCAGATTTGAGAAATTATTCTGGCAGGAGCAGTATGAGAAATGTGTGCCTTCATTTCCCTCTCTCTCACTCATCTTCTTTCTAGTGTTGTGGATGTCTGGGAGAAGGACATTAGTGTTCACCCTCTGCCACTCCCTCAGAGCTCATGTGAGGAGCTCCAGAAGCTTCTGATGTCCAGCACCTCCAGGCTGCCTGCATTCCTGCGCTGCATGAACTCATATCAGGTCACATACCGCTCTGGCCACACGCATGCCAAAACATGTGACTGCTTAGTCATTATACTTCTTTATTTCTTGCTCTTTATTTACATTATATTTATTCATTTAGCAGATGCTTTTATTAAATCTACTACAACAATAATATGCGAAACAATACAAAATTCCAAAACTGTCTAGAAAAGTACAGACTAGGGTACAAATGTACTATAAGTGTGACACAGTAAAGAAACAGTGTACTAGAGTGCTGTAGTGATAGTATCCAAGGCCAACCCACCCTGGTTCCCTTGACAAAAACCCAATAGTGTTTTCCATTAGCTTTTAGATTATTCTGGAAAATAAGCTCTGGAGCCAACAAAAGTTAATGATTGTTAAAGGTTTTGTTTGTCATGATAATCTTTACAAATGAACACAATGTTTTACACAACAAGGCTATAAAAGCAACTGTTCAGTGTGTTGATGTTTAATGTCCAGCAACCTCTGTAGTCCCATTAAGACATTTGATAGCAACCACCTTTATTAAGAAAATTAAAAGCTTTAAAATTCCCACGGGGGTTTTACTGATTTTATGCCATCAAATCAACATGAAAATATTGTGAGCTTCTGTTAATCCCAGACATAATTTCAGGCATTTAAACATAAAAAAAAAACATTGACTTCAGAAAGAACCAGAAGTTCAATTAAACAGAAGTTGAAAAATGCAAACTTGTTTGGCCTACAAAAATACATCATCCTTGAAGCACTCTATCCACCTTATTTTAAAGGGATAGTTCACCCCAAAATAAAAATTTCCTGTTAATTTACTCACCCCAGGCTATTCAAGATGTAGGTGACTTTTATTCTTCAGTAGTTCACGGTTAGCTGAAACCGTGGTCCTTGGTGATTCATAAAATGCAAGTCAGCGGCTGCCCGTCTTTGAGAATAAAAAAAGCATATCAAGGAACACAAAATCAATTATCAATTTTTACGATTAACACAAAATTAACACAAAATTCGTCTAGTTATTTACCTATTACTGCTAATGAATCTAAAGTCTTGCACAGAAAATGGTGAATAGTCATTCACAGAAAATAGCTTGCTAGCTAGCTTCCATGGTGGAAAATGTGGATCTAGTGAGTTTAGTCATGTTGTCCTTAAATGATGTAAGAGTAAAGGAGGAATTCTGGTTAAGCTGTTAAATTGTGATCCATACAGTCACTGGTTGCCTCAGCAAAGATGTATAGCTGTGTGTCTTTGGCGTAAGAGTGGTAGAAAGTTCCATGTGTACGTTGAGAAAGAAAAGGGGACCAAATACCGAGCCCTGAGGTACCTCAGTGGCTAGTTGATGTGACTTAAACACCTCTTCCTACCAAAATACCCTGAATTATCTCACTATGAGGCAGCACTCACTTCAACCAGCAAGTGCTGTTACCATAATGGTGAGGATATGGACTGGAGGATAGACAGAAACACCTGGTGATTTGCAGTGTCAAAGGATCCAGCAGAATAAGGATGGATGATAACAAGGCTCTTCTTACTACCTTCTATATATTACTTTTCATATGTTTTTATCTGAAAGTTTTGTTACCCATCACACCATTTGACAGCATTTTAATTGCCCACGTTCAGCTAAGCTGACATCAGTAGTTCAACCGCAATGCTTAAACTGAAATGCCTTTGAGTGCAAAAGAAGAATGCTTTTCTATAGCCTAATACATAAAAACAAAATAAAACATCTCTTTGAAGCAGATGTGCATTGGTATCAGGCAGATAGCCTGATTGAAACACTTGCCTCAGTTTCTGTTGTTTCTCCAGCATATTTGCTCCCAATTAAGGAAGCAAAACGGCTGTCTCCTGGCAGTCTTTTCCCCCCACCTCCCCATGAAGAGTTTCAGGGCTTGACCCAATGTTGATGCTGATGTGCAGCTTTATCCTCTTCAAAAGAATCTAGATTTCCATTTACATTCTTACTGAGAGTAAAAATAAAAGCTGATAAAGAGGAAAAATTTACCAGAGGTGTGCAGAAATTCCTTAGGAAAAGGGAATTCTGTACGGTCTGCAACACTTGAGGTGTGAGGGAACAAGTCTGACACCAATTTTTAATAATGAATAATTATGTGGTACATGTGGAGTTTTGAATTTTTGACAAATATATATATATGAGCACTTATTAGGTTCTATTTCAGTTAGAATGTTCCCTTGGAAGGTTGCTGGGTATGTATATATGAATGTATGTATGTATGTATGAATGATTAAATACATAAACAAACAATCACATTGTAACAAGGAACATTCTAACTGAAACAGAACCTAATAAGTGGACAATTTGGAGCACTCTACACAGGCAGCAACTCAATCAACAATGTAAGCCTGTTCATCTCAGGTCATTAATAGGGAGATTTACATGCCAAAAGCTTTGCGCTACATTAAACAAACTTATTTTTTGGTCCTTCTTTTGTTGCCGTGGTTTATTTTGACCTTGTTTCTCATGCTAGCAACATGTGTTTGCTCTGCTGTAGCTGTTGCAGGCATTGAACTTTCTCCATCAAGTGGAAAACTTATCACTCATCCTGCCAATTTTTGTAGTGCTCTGATGATAAAATGTCAGACAGGCATCGTCAAGCACGCGTGCCTCTGGGAGTGCTGCGTACAGTTCATTCAATGCCTTTGTTGTGCTGAGAGCAAGCAGACACACGCAAACAACTGACCTATATAGATATAAAAGGTTATCGTTGATCAGGTTTACATGAATAGATGTTTTCCAGTGTTTCGTGGGAAGTTGATCCAGCTAATATCTGAAAGAATCAGAGCATACACTCTTAAAAATAAAGGTGCTTCAAAGGGTTCTTTAAGCGATGCCATAGAAGAACCATTTTTGGTTCCACAAAGAACCATTCAGTCAAAGGTTCTTTAAAGAACCATCTCTTTCTTACCTTTTTGTAATCTGAAGAACCTTATTTCGCCACAAAGAACCTTTTGTGAAACAGAAAGGTTCTTCAGATGTTAAAGGTTCTTTATGGAACCATTTAGACAAAAAGGTTCTTCTATGGCATCGTGAAGCACCTTTATTTTTAAGAGTGTAGAGACCTGTTTTAGAAGTGATGGCAGAGTTGACATTCATATGTTACAGTGTATGATTTGCATCAAATTTAAACAAATTTCTCATTTAATTTCCAGCTAAACTAACTATGTTGTTATATATACACTACTGTCCAAATGTTTAGATTTGGTATGCATTTTTAATGCTTTTGAAAGAAGTCGTTTCTGCTCACCACGCTGCATTTATTTCATTACAAATACTATAAAAACAGTATTACTGTGAAATAGAAATTACATTTTAAGTATCATTATTCCAGTCTTCGAGTCACATGGTCCTTCAGAAATCATTCTAATATGCTGATTTGCTGCTCAATAAACATTTCTGATTATTATCAATGCTGGAAACCATTGTGCTGCAAAATATTATTTTTTAGGATTCTTTGATGAATAGAAAGTTCAAAAGAACAGCATTTAGCCTATTGGAAGTAGAAGTCTTTTGTCACATTATGAATGTCTTTACTGTCACTCTTGAGCAGTGTAGTGCATCCTTGCTGAATAAAAGTATTAATTTTTTGGCCAAAAAAAAAAATACTGATCGTGCACTTTTGAACGCTAGGGTATATCAGTTACAGTGATGTAGGAACCACTCAGCTGTGACTCTGAAGTATGTAATTGAAATACTGCTGGCTTGACAGTCTATTTGATGTTGTGCATGAGTTAGTGGAAGTAAGCTCACTGAAGGCCGTGAGGAACACACTGCAGGGACAAATCCTTGAGCCAGAGTTTATCATCATCCATCACAGGACTCAAGGCCTGCATGAAGCTGATTTGGTTAAATGTCGCTACTGTCTGTTTGCCACATTTTTTTACATTATGCTTTCAAAGTTAAGTGGCCATTTGTGGCTAACTTTTACATTTTCAGGTTGTTATTGTAAATGAAAAGATCCCAGAATTAGTCATTTTTCAGCAGGTGGACATGACAATGCTGCTGTTTTTGAAATTAAACACGTCTGAGAGGTGAAGTTTGGGGGCAGTAAGATTTTGAATTTATTTATTTATTTTTGAAAGAAATTTATGCTATGATTTAGCTAGGATGCATTAAATTGATGAGAAGTGACAGTAAGACATTTATAATGTTACAAAAATTTCTATTTCAAATAAATGCTGTTCTTTTGAACTTTCTGTTCATCAAAGAATAAAATGTATCACGGTTTTCACAAAAATAGATTTCTGAAGATCATGTGACACTGAAGACTGGAGTAATGATGCTGAAAATTCAGCTGCGCATCACAGCAATAAATTACATTTTATCATATATTCACATAGAAATAGGAATCCGTTGTTTTAAATTGTAATAATATTTCACAATATTAGTTTTTTTACTGTATTTTTGGTCAAATGGAGATTTTTAAAAATCTTACTGATTTTAAACTTTTAAATGGTAGTGTATGTGAACACTCCAAAATCAGACTTCTCGAAAGCATTAAAAATACTTTGTTATTGTCAACCTTTGTGTGAAACAATGCAGTGCATTGTAATGACAGACAGTAGTACACTAATTGTTGTTGCATCATGCTGTATGTTTAGACCTACTGTCATCTTGGAAATAACTATTTTGTGACCAATTTTAGAAAAAAAAAACATTTGTTAGTCCATTGAGATGAAGAATTAAGAGAAAGAATTAGTTATATTATTTCCAGTTCATTCTAAACACTAGTTGAGCACATTGCACTGCAGTATTTCATGCATTAAGTTGTATATTGATATTATATACTTCATATTTTGGCATGTGGTAGGTCCTACAGATCCTCTATGGTTTTTTGCACAGTGTACATATTGTAATTTACTGCAGACTTTGTGAGAGTAATAGGTTAGTATAGTGATCTAAACACAGTCTGTTCGTCCTCTCTCTACAGGTGGCCTACATGCAGATGTGATGCATTGAGCTCAGAAACCACTGGAGCAGTTTATCATCACAGTGCAGCGACACAGGAAGTCAGATATGAAAATCTATTAAATGCAAAACATTACTTTTTTTTTTTTTTTTTTTTTTTTTAAAAAAAAACAAGGTCTGCATGATATTAGAATGAAGTGGCTCATATATCTTTTTAATTGGGGACAGGTGTTGTCTAGCTATCTGTAAAAGTGTAAATACCCATCATGCTTCATTACAAGCACATTAAATATCATTCCATGCACACTTAAAACATGTTACTGATAGTTTGGTTCACTTTCTGTCTTAGTAAAAGTGCGCATTCTCCAGAGTTTATGAGTTCGCAGCAGTGTGCGATCCAATGAGTGACGGGAAACTGTGTTCCCAGACGTGAATGAGAAAATATATTCATAGATCTTTCTGAATATGCTCGGAGCTCACTGTGCTTCATCACACATCATGATGACAGGTGGGAACACACTTTACCTTTATAAACGTCTGCATGTCATCAGGGTCCTACGCTTTGTGTGAAACGCACAGAAATGTGATTTACATCGCTTTATTTTAAAACCAGCATAAGATCTTCTGGTGTTACTCATTCATGCAGTGTGAAGAATTTTGAGGTCTGATCTGAATGCCCAAAAAAAACTTCATGATGAGAGCTACAAATAAACAATATAGGCATGAGTTAATAAGAAGAAAAAGACATGTTTTGCCACATGCAGGCCAAAAAACAAACATAATATGAGAACAAGGTTGATCTGATCACATGCGAGCATAAGAGTAAGTGTGTTTACTATTTAGTCTTAAAGCTCTAGAGGAGTTACAGTCCGAAATATCTTGAAAAACCCAAACACGAGTTTATGATTTTCCTGATTAATTTGTTAGATGTTTATACAACCTGATTTCCCTCTGATCATCTGTGGGTTAGTGTACGAGTACAGTAGATGTAGAGTTGATTTTGTGTTTGATGGGAGTGTTGTTCCAGAATCAACATCAGATGTGAGTGTGTGTATTCATAAGTACAGTGAGGTGATATTTTGCATAGGGCTGCATAAGCTACTAAGCACATGTGCTGGTGAACTGCGACAGGCATCTATGAATAGCACTACTTCACTAATTGTAGGAGAAATGGCACAAATTCTTCTTTGACATTTTATTAGGGCCACTGGCAAAATATACAATTATGGAAAGACACTCTACAGATGATATTATACATCAGGAACTTAATGGAAGCGTTTGGCTTCATTCTTCTTGAATGCTTTCATAGTTCTCAATCCTGTGTTGGTAGATATTCTTTCTTCAAGTAGATCCTTCAGTTTTAAGATTGAGATGTTGAACACACTCCCATGAGCAACTTTTATCCTCAAAAAGCAAAATAGCATCAATCACGCCACTCTAGTGTTGAGTTTGAAATGCCACTCTGTCTTTCAGATGATTCCATTATCATGACTGAACTGTAAGTTAAAATAACACACAGTCTGCATTTACAAACATTTGTGGAAAAAATGGGTGGTTCTGAAGAGCTCAGTGAATTCAGTTAAGTAAGGTACTGTTAAGTGTATTGCATTTAGGACTGTCAAACGATTAATCACATCCAAAATAAAAGTTTGTTTTTACATAATATATATATGTGTGTGTGTGTGTGTGTGTGTGCTGTGTTTATTTATTATGAATACACAAACATACATGTGTGTTTATATATATATATTAAATATATACATGAATACCTGTGTGTATTTATATACACATCATAAATATACACAGTGCACACACATATATTATGTAAAAAAACTTTTATTTTGGATGTGATCGATCACGTTTAATTGATTGACAGCTCTAATTTTACTTTGCAATAGAGTTTAGGAAAGGCCCTTTACTATTCCAGCATGACTGTGCCCCAGTGCACAAAGCAAAGAACGTAAAGTCATGAGATTGGCTTTATCTGGAACAGAGATTGCAAGCCATTTTCATCACTTTAAATAAAAGAAACAATAACTGAAATATTAAAAACATTTATTTTATTTCACATAATTGCCAAGTTGGCATTTCTCATTTTTGTGTTCAGCTGAAATACTAAAATATCTAAAAAACTAAAACTTAACAAAAATAGGTATTAAAAGACACACATACACACACAAACTAAAATTAAACAGAATAAAAAATGACGTCTGATTCAATACACGTAATACTCTACAATAAGGTTCCATTTGTAAACTTTGGTTACCTACATTAGTTATCATGAACTAGCAATGAAAAATACTTCTAAAGCATTTACTAATCTTAGTTTATTTTAATCTCAACATGTATGAATGTGTTATTAAAATAAAAAAATTGCTTTTTAACATTAGCTTAATTCTCCGTAAACAAACACAAATATTTTATTAACTAACATTAAGAAAGGTTAATAACTGCTAAAAAATATAATGCTCATCATTAGATCATAGTTGATGCATTAAAGGGGTCCTATTATGCTCTTTTACAAAGTCTTGATTATGTTTTGGGGGTGTACTAGAACATGCTCTCATGCTTTGTGGTTAAAAAAACGCATTATTTTTCACATAATTTACATTATTACAATACCTTTCTCCCCAGCCTGGCACAAACGGCTCGATTAGTTCCGGCTTTGTTCTTGGTTTTCTCTAATGCACTAACTCTGCAGCAGCACTTCTTCTTCATCGTATCGTCTGATGCACTCACTCAACCAAGCGTTCTAACCACAACCTCGCCCCTCCCCACCCCCCAACCATTCCAATTTCTGTAGGCGGGAATTATTTTTAATGATATTCTAATGGGCCGCTTTGTGATATCACAAAGCCCGGAAAACAAACGCTGTAGTCCAAACGAGCTGTTCGTTGTAGTTCTTGAAAAGGGATTTTTAAAAAACAAAATATCTCCCTTTGGAGTGGACTTTGAGATTTGTAAGTTTGAAGATCTTTTTTATGCCCAAACATACACACTACACACTGACTAAAATTAAAAAAGTGAAAAAGCATAATAGGACCCCTTTAACAAATGAGACCTTGTTACCTCAAAAAATCTTTTAATTTATCTATTTAATACTAAAATTACACTGAGGAACACAATAGGAATTCTTTTTCCAGAATGTCTGAGCTGCATCTTTCCTTAAATTGACAGTGGTCAAATGCTGATTTGTATCATCAGGCTCCTAAAAAAGATAAAAACAGCATGAAACTGTTACAAAAGTAGGTCTTTCTGCAAGTGCACTATATTCCAGGTGTTGCACATCATTCTAACATGTCAGAAGAATGCATGAACAACTCATTAGAATCGTGGAAAGCAGCGCAAAATGGCATAAAAACGTATTTGTGGTACTGGTTATTGTATTTTTGGTTGACCACTGTCACCCTGGCCTTTTCCAGCGCGGTTGTACAAATGCTCTGCAGCGCTTCACTCGGCGTCTAATTTAGGGGAAACTGCATTTGCCAGCAGACTGCAGTCCATCAAAGCGCCGCTGCTGTCTGTGGGGCCGCTGAGAGCCGGACGGTGTTCAGTTCCACAGAGTAACACAGTTAGTCCAGATCCTCATTGCACTGTTTCTCTGACAGCACTTGTGTTTTTGACAAATAACAGCCTGGAGCCAAACTTACTGCTTCCAACAGACGCCCGCAAAATGCACGGGGAACTAGTTTGCAGTAATTGTTTTTTTTACACTATACCAGAAACTTTAGATATTTATTATGACTATTTTTTACATATGTGAATATAGTAAAGTCATCAAAACTATTAAAATATATATATATATTAGTTGGCATCATCCTGGTTCCCTTGACGAAAACCCAGTAGGGTTGCTCTGTTGCCTTTTGGACCAACAAAAGTTTATGCTTATTATATGTTTGGTTCCTCATGATAATCTTCACAAATGAATTTTGTAGCCTAAATACAATCGGCAGAGGTAAAAAGCTAAAAGTAAAGTTTATTTTAAAACATTTTCCTGAAAGTTTGAGTTAGAATAGCTTCAAGAGCGCGATTATAAACACAAGAAGAAGTGTTAAAATGCAACTCATTTCTGGGTTTTGGATGACAAAAACACATCATCCCTGCAGCACTCTACTGTAAATGTATATTGTGATACAATCTTCATGAATATCACTGCTGCTTCCACAGCAGGTTTGTTTGCTCCTGTTTTCAGTTTTTACATGCATCCACCAGATGTGTTACACTTCTGACAAAGTGTGTAAAACCATATTTAAAAGAAAAACCTGACAGCTTGTGTGAACAGCTCTGCACAGAACAACTTGTTTCAGAAACAACTCATATAACAGCTCAGTTCTCATATACAGTGCGATCAGTTCTCAGTGCTCAAATACACACACAGCACCATTGTCACCCGGTCCTGTTCATTGCTCAGATCCTGTCCGAGAGTCTCCAGCTCTTCTCTCTGATGATGGAGAAGGTTCCCCCGTGTCTCATTAGGAGCTCCACACTGTCGTGCCGCTCACCCTACTGAAAGGCCAAGCCTGCGGGCAGAGTCTGCGGTAAATCCAACTTTGTTATGCAGCGGTTTGAGGGGTTTTTCTTTAACAGACATCGTAATGAAACAAACCTGCAGTGTATGCGGGGTGAAGTTAAACCCGTCCTGTTCAGGTTGCAGAAGCTCCGTAGTGAGAGCTTTCCACTTTCTTACTTCAGCAAATAAATATGAATGAGTTTGCAGAACTTTTTGGCTCGGGTGCTTCAACTCTTTGATGATCTGTCTGTAAAAGACCTTTCGGGTGTCTGCGGTGCATCCAGAGAAAACGGCTGACAAAGAAAATGAAAGAGCTGTCAGGGAAGAAAGATCAAATAATGATTTACAAAGTTTAGCGCTGATGTATAAAACCTATGTGCAGAAAGAGTGATTTTTTTATAATACAAGAGTCCTTCAAACTGAGCTCTGAACAGTGAATCTGGGTTCAAATTCTGTTGTACTCTATGCTTTTACCAGTCTGAAGGGCAGAGACGTAAGCAGAAGACAGGCATCACTCATGCTTTGTTTTGCACTGAAATGCAACAATCCTAGCTAAGATCTAAAAGAGTTACTTAAGGTTTTAAAATGATGCACACTGACATTTTTTTTAGGAACACATGATCAATAATGGTAAAACTTAGGACAGTCAGTTGATTAAAGGGGTCATCGGATGCCCATTTTCCACAAGTTGATATGATTCTTTAGGGTCTTAATGAAAAGTCTGTAACATAGTTTGGTTAAAATTTCTCAATGGTAGTGTAAAAAACACCTTTTTTACCCTGTCAAAAACAGCTATTTTCAGAGCAAGCCGTTTTGTAGCCTTTTCCTTTAAATGCTAATGAGCTCTGCTGACCCCGCCCCTCTCTTCCGAGCTGCTCTCAGAGAGACTGTTTACTTTAGATGCATTCATCGTGAAACTTGGTAATTAGCACATTATTAGGAAAGGCGATTTGCAAAGATTCATTAAAAAACCTTACACTCACTTCTTCTGTTGGTGAAGCTGGATCACGAATGATTCGCGCGAACATAGACGCATTTAGGTAGATCGGGGCGCATTCCCTTCAGAAACAAAGGTAATCCACTGCATCTTCAGCGGCTCAGATGTCGGGAGTAAATGACGACTGCTATGTTCATTATTACATCCATGTACACACACTGCCAACACACATTTCAGTTCAAACAACTTGTAAAAGTGCATGTAGCATCCAATGACCCCTTTAAACGCTTATTTTAAAATTGATTACAGTAATGAATTAAAATCATATTAAATTAATCACAAATATTTCAGGGTCAGTGAGATTTGCTTTTAATTTATACTTTAATTCAGCAAGGATGCATTAAATTGATCAAAAGTGACAGTAAAGACATTTATAATGTTACAAAAGATTTCTATTTCAAATAAATGCTGAACATTCTATTCATCTGTGAATCCTAAAAAATTTAATGTATCATGGTTTCCAGGAAAAAACAAAAACAAACAGCACAACTGTTTTCAACACTGATAATAATAGGAAATGTTTCTTGAGCAGCAAATCAGCATATTA